CGGAGCCGAGGGCGGAGCGGGCGGGAGCGGGGCGGAGCGGCGGCGGAGCGGGCGCAGCGGGCGAGCGGGCGAGCGGGGCGGAGCGGGGCGGAGCGGGGCGGACGGGCGGAGCGAGGCGGAGCCGGCGCGGAGCGGGGCGGAGCCGGCGGAGCGGGGCGGTAGCGGGGCGGAGCGGGGCGGAGCGGGGCGAAGCGGGGCGGAGCGGGGGCGGAGCGGGCGGAGCGGGGCGGAGCGGGGCGGAGCGGGGCGGAAGACGGGGCCGAGGGGGCGGAGCGGGGCGGAGCGGGGCGGAGCGGGGCGGAGCGGGGCGGAGCGGGCGGAGCGGGGCGGAGGCGGAGCGGGGCGGAGCGGGAGGAGCGGGGCGAGCCGGGACGGGCGGAGCGCGAGCGGGGGGAGCGGGGCGGAGCGGGCGGGCGGGCGGAGCGGGGCGGAGCGGGGCGGAGCGGGGCGGAGCGGGGGCGGAGCGGGGCCGGAGCGGGAGCGGAGCGGGGCGGGCCGGTAAGAGGCGGACGGGCGGAGCGCGGCCGGAGGCGGAGCGGGTGGAGTTGGTGGAGCGGGGGAGCGAGGCGTGAGCGCGGGCGAGCGGGCAGAGCGGCGGTCGGAGCGGGGCGGAGCGGCAGAGCGGGGTCGGAGCGGACAGGGGCGGAGCGGCGAGCGCGGGCGGCGGAGCGGGGCGGAGAGGGGCGGAGCGGGCGGAGCGGGGCGGCGGCGGCGGCGGCAGCTGGGGGGAGCGGGGCGGAGCGGGGCGGGCGCCGGCTCAATATTCACATTCCCCCCTCCCTCTTCCCTCCTCCCCCGCCCCGACGCGTGTGCGTGGGATCCTCAAACATCGCAACTCTGCCGTATCCAAGGACACCGGCCAGTGCGCTTTGCACCTCATCGGTGCGACCTCCGAGCGCTCTGCGAGTACACAGCCACCCCTCCGTCTGGGTGTGATCCCTGCAAAACCCTGCAACATTGTCGGATCGGTCGCCACATCGCATCATGTGAAGGTCTCCCCAGCCCTCTAACGATCGTGGGGTGGCAACTATTTATGTATCAGAATAAAAGCGAAGATATTGTCTGGTATCAATACTTCTTATTCAGCTTATGATCGTTTGGATCGCATAGCGATCATTCTCAGAGCTTGCAGTTTCCGGGCCGAAAACAGTTCTGCCGGGCCCGGTTTCGGCCCGGAGGCTGCAAGCTCTGAGGATGATCGCTATGCGATCGAAACGATCATAAGCTGAATAAAAAGTATTGATACCAGGCAATATCTTTATTTATTTATCATAATAAAAAGGTATCTACCTCACCAGGGATCTAATTAATGCTTTTATTCTGTCCGGCACATACTTTGGTACCGTTTACCATCACTATCTCACTTCTTCCTGAAATTTCAATTAGTTGATGTTTCGATTCATGTTTTCGGGTGCGTCAACTGCTGTGGTCATTAGTCTCTTTAGTATAGTGAATGTTATATCCCGGAAAGTGGTGTTCATCCGGTGCTGAGTTATGAGATCCGGCGCCGACATGCGTTTGACTTGAGGAGTTTACGTCTTCAGGTATGTTGCTCAGAAGGGCACTGGAAAATTTCAGATAGGAAGGATTAGCTGATAGAATTCTCTTCCGGACAGGCACTTTATTCGTCCGAGCTATTTATCTCGGGGCAATCTCTCTATCTTATCGGTTATCTCTTTATCTTGCGCCACCATCAGGGTTAGAATCCTAGGATCTCCGACTCAACGTCGCTGCAGAGACAACGTAATGCTTCCGCTAAGCCACACCCGGGAAATACTAAACCTTCAATATGGCAGCCGTCTTGTAATACCTACTACCTCCACACATATCGTACTTCATCCATTGAAATGTTAGTAGTATACACTCTGTGACCCCATCCATGGAGAAACGCAGGCTTGTCTGTTTCACTTGTCAACACACTCCGCCTCACAGAATTGAAAGACATTTGGTCATTCTGTATTCATTTCTATCCACAACGTGTCATAAGTCTCAAAAATGCCGTTAAACTCATACACATTCATTAATAAAGTAGTTATAGAAGGATGGAAAACACAAAAATAGGTTATCAATGAAGGAGCAGATAACAATTATACAAACATTGTGAAGCTTCATGGAACCTACTTAAATACAAAGAAGACAAACTTTATTATGTGGTCTCCACTATTTGGTTTCTATCTTTGAATGAAAAAAAGAAACATTTATCGTTAAAAAAAGCAAATTAACAGGTCCCTTTTTGTCAAATCTTGGTAACGCCGTCTTTTCTATATCACCAAAGGTGGTCAATTTACCACCGTAGTTGACGAAAAGGAAAAAATGTAAAACTTCTGAACACCTCGTTGCAGTTTATAGTTAGAATTTTCTCATCTTTAGGAGCACTCGTTCATTAAGACCTCGTATGTATAGATTTTATTCTGATCTATAGAATGCATGCTGAATAAAATATATTATTTTTGCATAAAATTATCTATTCGGTGTAAAATAAAAAAGAGAAAACATGAAGAAGAAAGAAATTCCAACTTGAAATGGAAAGTATAGGAAATAGTGTGAGTATAGAATAGAAAACTTCATAATAAATGGAATAAATAGATGTTTGTAATTATGATGGAGTTGAAAGCTTAGGGGTTTGGAGTGGCTTTCAAGTTCGCAGACTTGAAGGCTTAAAGTTAGCATCCTATCTAATACTATGGCTGTGTTCGTGTAGCTGTTGCGTGGTTGATCTGTTGCATCATATCATGTACCTTTTCAACGATGGCAAGCCCCCCTCCCAACAAATGACTAATACACACAGAAATTGAATGAAAACCACAACAAATAACTATGTAGCTCCTGGCAATGTGAGAGGCGTTTATGCTCTTGTTAGATACGCAATAACTTGGAAAAATTCCAAAATCAGTGTAAAAATGCCTATTTTTACTCAAAATGAAAATATTCTCACGTTAGCATAATTTCTTGGTACAAAACAGACACGTGACAGCAAGGCTCCAAAGCTCTCAGACGATA